AAAAAGCCCTAAATTTAATCCCTAGTACTAAAGAATAAAGAGGAATATGGGTTTTTTATGTATCATTATCCTATTGCCCAGCTGTTTAGCTCTCAGTTAGTAAGGTGCTCATAATAAAGTATAAATATTCATTTAGAAAAAAAATATCTCTGCTTCTTAAAAAAAGTTTTTCTGACTCCTTTTTAAAATTTGCATTTGGGTGCCGGGGAGACGGCTCAGTAGAATAATAGCTTGCCTGGCAAGTGCAAGGGCCTGAGTTCAAGCCCCAGTTCCACAAAAATATAAATAAAAAAATAAAATAAAATCTGCACTTGGGGAGCTGGTGAGTTAGCTCAGTGGTCTAAAGCGCCTGCTTAGACAAGCTTAGGCAAGCGCACAGGTACCACATGCCCCGCCAGCCCCGCCCCCAGGGCAGGCTGAGCTGGCCTCAAAAAACAAAAATCTGCAGTTGGGGATCAACAAGATAGCTCAGTGGACTAAGTGCCTGCTTAGTCAAGAACAGGAATTGAGGTTCAATTCCTGGCACCACATGCTGCACTAGCCCCACTCCCAGGCACTCTGAGCCAGCCATCAAGACCTGGGGTGCTGGGACATGCCTGTAATCCCACCCTGGGGATGCTGAAAACAGGAGGATCACTATGAGTCCCAGCTGTGTAGTGAGACCCTGTACCAAATATAAATAAATAAATAAATAAATAAATAAATAAATAAATAAAATCTGCTGTTAGGGGCTAGGGATACAGCTCAGTGGCATAGCACCTGCCTGGCAAGTGCAAGGTCCTGAATTCGATTCCCATTACCAAATAACCCCAGCACTGTTGAGTTGACACAGGATCTAGAGTTTGAGGCCAGCCTGGGACATACAGTGACCCTGTCTCAAAAACAAGACAAAAAGAAACAAACTTACTTCCATATATCTGACAAATACCTTTTAGCAGCCTGCTGTAGCTGCTCCAATGTTGAGAAAGTAGGTACATACTTCTTCCTCATGGGCACATGAACCCAAGACAAGGGTTTGTTAAGATGGCAGAGCCCGGTAATTGCATAAAACTTAGAACTTTACTATCAGAGGTGCAATTCCTCTCCTCAATACTTATGTACATAATTAATTCTTTATTTCTAATTATCTCTATCCTTTTAGCTATAGCATTTCTTTTTTTTCTTTTCTTTCTTTCTTTTTTTTTGGTGGAACTGGGATTGAACTCAGACCCTTGCACTTGACAGGGAAGTGCATATTCTACTGAGCCATCTCCCCAGCCCCTAGCTATAGCATTTCTAACTGTAATAGAACAAAAAATACTTGGATATATACAGTTCTGCAAAGGACCTAATATTGTTGGCCCTTATGGAATTTTACAACCAATAGCAGATGCATTAAAATTATTCATTAAATAACCCTTATACCCTTCAACATAACCAATTCTTTTATTTACTATTGCCCCATCACTAGCTTTAACACTTGCCTTATCTATATGAATTCCTATTCCCATACTATACCCCTTTATTAACATAAACCCAGGACCCCTATTTATTCTAGTTACATTAAGCCTTGCCATGTACATGGGCATATGGTTGAGATTTTGGTCTTTTCTTTCTTTTTTTGGTGGAACCGGGGATTGAACTCAGGCCCTTGTGCTTGCCAGGCAAGTGCTTATTCTACTGAGCTATCTTCCCAGCCCCTTTCTTCTTCCCCTC